CTCTTGAGCTAACCAGTGTGTTCTATGCACTGGTGGCCCAGGGTGCCTAGGCAGTTACTTGAAAAGCCTTCGTTCCTCGCATTAAGGTAAGTGGCCTTTGAGAACTGCACTAATACATTCCATAATAAAAAAATATAATAATAATCATAATAATAATATAAAAATTTACATGCATTCATAAAATGAGAGCCTCCAACATTATCTTGCATGAAGAGGGTAAAAGGAACAACTGTACAGAGGTAATTAACAGGCCTCTGTTGAAGGAACCAGTACTCCCTCGACATACACTATACTTAACATACAATCACCCATAAATTTAACATGCATTTACCATAATTTCATATTACGTATCTGTACTAATTTCACTTATTTTTTTACATCCATTCAATTTTTAGAATAATTATAAAATTCGTATTCAAAATTCTCAACAAAATTTCAAAAACATAAAAACTTATCATAATATCCTTCCCTATGAATAATTTAAATAGCTTAAAATTCGTTACTTAATTTGCTCACACATAATTATGAAAAATTAGAAAAATTAATGAACAAGAATTTCAGATTTTCTCAAAACAAATTGCAGAAATTTTAACCAATGTTGAAATGAAAACTATAGAATTCGCAGCACATCTGAGCTAGGTTCACACGAATGTAATAATTTTTGAGCTGTTGAAAAAGCGGAAGTGCAAATAATTTTCTGTCGCACATACTTGCAAACACTAACTCGGATCGACCTTGAACCCGCTGTAATGCTTAATTCCTAAACGGTAATTCACTGATGATTTCCTTTTCACTAGGCACTCGAACTTCTCAATTTATCGAGATATTACTTTCAATCTGTAAACACTACGCGTGATTATTTTTTTGAAGCACTTGCAAAACACCACAGCAGAAGAATGATCTGTTATTTTTTAAACACTGAAAAAACAAACTTGATGATTCACTTCTTTCACATTATCTTGGATTCATCACAAAACGATGATTTGAAGAGCTGAACTAAATTTTCCATTGCAGGAAACTATCCTTACCGGCTTAATTGTCATAAATAAAATCACAAGGAAAGGACGGAACACTGTAGATGCGTGCTTAGATCCATATTGAAGAAGAATTTTGATTGCGTAGTATTTAAAGAACTTGGCAGTCGAGGCAGTTTTAATTCCATTTTTATTTCCAATTGATATTTGTGGCCACAATCACTTGGCACTCTAGTCGTGCCTTTCCACATAAGATTTACATTTTTGATGTTGTTGGGATAGAAAGCAAGCCAGCGAAATTACATCTTAGCACAGTAGAGAGCAAGAGGTGAAGTGCGTAGTTATGAAAGATGGAAGCACGCGAAGAGAAAAGTTTTGGTTTACAACGACAGTTTCAGTTCTTAATTATTACGTCATCGGAGTTGCGCGGGCCATAGAGTGATCTAGAATGACGCAACGCAGAGAAGTTATTACGATTTTAGAATAGAGAGGAAGAATTAATGTTTATAGTTTATTATAATTCTGATTCATACATTTTTATCTTACATATATATATATATATATATATATATATTATATATTGCGCTTTCCATAGTTTAACATAAATGAAGTTTTTAAAGTCTGAATTTTAAATAGTGATATGTGTGTTTATATGTACTGTAATTACTGATGAAAGGATTTTCTGAATTTAAAGCCAGGGTAGCTTAAATTACTAACAGACGGCAAATACACAACTTGAAATCAGAGTCTTTGGAAGAAGCAATAAATTTAGAATTTACGGCAGCTCCATTTCTCGTCATAGTTAACAAAATGAAAGAACTGAGAAAGTTATAGATAGCGGATGCTTTTTTGTCCTTGCACAAAGGTAATGGTCTCCCATATAAAGTAGAAAATGTACAAAGGTGGTAAGCTTTTAGTTCAGTAAACCCCCTGGAGGTATATTTACGTTGAAGTCAACTTGGAGATTCCGCTATTAGGTGTTTTCTTTGAAAAGGGTAATATCTTTTTCAGCACATAACCAGAAATAAGAGTTTATGTTTTCATTACTTAATCTTCAAAGCTGTATAATTTGGAGCATCTGCTCGAAAAACTGTTAACTTATTTTTCATCCATTCATGAAAAGAATACACACCTGCGTAAATGTCTTGGAGAAAAAATATCGTTAACAATTTTGCTAAAAAAAAAAAAAAAAAAAAAAAAAAAAAAAAAAAAAAAAAAAAAAAAAAAAAAAAAAAAAAAGAAAAAAAAAAAAAAAAAAAAAAAAAAAAAAAAAAAAAAAAAAAAAGAATTTTTTTTTTTTGGTTTCTATTAACATCTCGATAATGCACGTAGTATATAAATACTTGCATTGTAACTCATATATAGCTAATTACAAGGAAATTGCATTGTAACTCGAAAATACATTTACTTTCTCAAGAAGCTCCTTTGTCCAAGCTGTTTACTTGTTTTCTACCCCCAAAGTGATTTTACTCTATAAAAGCCGAACTGCCTGATCTCATTCATCAGCCACTTCATCTATTCTGCTGTTGAGTTATGCGATATACATGCATACATACGTACAGACATACGTCGCGCTAAAACTAGTCATAAGTCCCAAATATAAAATTTCAACATTTTATGTTAAGTTATGCGACATACGTACGTGTAAACGTCATGATGGAACTATTCAAAATGGAAATTTCCTTTGAAATATCAAAATCGAAATGTTTCGCGATTACAATACTTTATTTATTTCTCACAAGTCAAAACGGTGTCATAAATAACTAACTACTAATGAATTTATGATGCAATCTAAAGAATTATTTAAATCTAACACTTTAAACTGGAATAAACTTATAATATTTGAAAATTAAATATAAACATAATACTAAAATAAGTTGCGAATAATTTGTATTCGAAAAATTGGAACACGAGAGAAAAAAATTCTCACAAATTCCCTTTGTATATTAAAAAAGTATTTCCTCAGAAAATAAGAATAAAAAAATGCAAGATTAATTTTTCACCATTATCGAAGTAATTCCTTAAAGAAACTGGAAATTTAAAGCATTTTACGTAGTTTCTCTTACTGATGTATATTGACTAACTTTCTGTATTCGGCACATATCTTGATTTAAGGTACGAGTAATATACAGTATATATGTTAGTGTGCAAATTATAAAGTAGCCAAATAGGAGATGAAATACTATTTTAGCAACCAGTCTCGTGACGAAGATACCATAGGGAGAAAAACTAATTTCACTCGCTAAATTTAACGGAGGGGAGAATTAGCTTAATTATATCCACATGGTAAGGGGGGCCCGCTTTTGAAGCAGTTTGAATAAAAATGCTTGCCGCTTTTGCGACAGACCTGGTAAGAAAACACGATTATTTTTACGTCGTTTCCTGAAAAAACCCGTAACGCTCGGGGGGTTAACAGAGGGGGCAACCACGCTCTGCTACCAAATGATGGTTATTTAAGATTGGCATATATATAACATTCTCAAAAGAATCAACCACTTCTAACAAAAATACATTATGGCAATATACAAAAAGAAAACTTTATTAAAATCAGACATAAAAAGTCTTACCACATTCTACCAAACCATAATAATAAAAAACTCTCTTCCAGATACATTTTTAACTCATTCTTTTTACAATTTAATATCAATGTTGCCAAAATATTAAAACTTAAAATTATGCTTTATAAACAAATACTATCAAGAGGCGTGGTGAGCGGTCATTTCCGTTCTCCAAGATGGGGGTCGTCCGCTTTTCTCAAAATGGCTCAAATTCAAGATCGGGCATTTCTCAGTATTTTCCAAGATGGGGAAGAAAAACCTAGGATGGAAGAACACGAAGGAAAGAGAGAAAAAATGCAATCTTGTCATTTTCTGATAGTGTACCGGTGTTCGAATACTTTTGTGACCGACTGTACCGCCAGTGGTTTCCTTCCTTGCACTCTACTTTAAGCAATTAAGCAAGTAGAAGGAATAAACCCCGTGGGGCAGTAAGCAAAAGGGCGTCCTTTCCGCCTGCCCTGGGTAATTCAGTTTAAATTAGCAGACACCTTTGCACAAATCATTTTAATTACAATTTATAAATATCTAAAACAGCTGTCATTCGTATGCCTGCCGGGCTTTCTAGTATGTTACAACCATTTCATTTTTGATGTTCAGAATACTTATTTTCAATCATCAATTTAGAATGTGTTAATGCAACATGTACATTTATTTATTACTTAATTTTACTCTTACAATAAATTTTTCAGAAAAAGTATATATTCTGAACTATTAAAACTGATTTATCGGTATATATATATATGTATATATATCAATAAATCAGTTTTACTTGAAAATTTTATCCAGTTACTTTTAATTATCATTCCTAAAGTTAAGTAATCCTAAATGTATGTCATTATGTAAGGGCAGGATAGAAGGAAATAAATAAGAACACTGAAAGAAGCTAATAAATTGATGGAAGTATAAAGTCTTAAACTACAGATAATTTTAATGTATGTAGCAGTTATAATTCGAAAAAGCCCTCCATTTTCATAATTTTATTTCTTTCTACATTTATCAGACAGTGGGCAGAACCGTGCTAAATAATCGAATAAAATTATTACTTTCAGCTTATCACAGTGGGTTTTTGTTAACAAATGAAATTAAAAAAATTTAACTACATATAACATATTTTGAAAAACCCTAACTTTTTAATCAGTTGCATTTGCAACGTGTTAAATAGCAGTAACATAACGTTTTCGAGATATGTTCTTGGTCCATCTCTCTTTCAGATATTCCTCGCCGAGAAATTCACAGAAAGTTCTTCTGCTGTCGGAACTACAGTATGGCACGCTACATTATGCCATGCCATGTTTCTTTCAGTAAACAGCGACACTTTTTAATAAAATACACTTTTTGTAAATAACGAGCCGCATAACAAATAGTGAGCGTATAGCAAAAGTGTAGCAGAATGCAAGTGCCACCTAGGATGAATTTTGCAAAAGCGACTGAAAACTGGGGTTCAGTGTGGCAGGCCTCGAGTATAAGTTGGCCTTGTCCCAGGCACAGAATATTCTTTGGCTCAGGTGCATCGTGTTGATCGACCCGACGTTGCATATGGGAGAATTAGGGGGGTTCAAAATTGAAAGCTTTTGAACTGTATTGTTTACGTTCGTTATTAGAGCGACGAATTACTTGGATTTGTTCATTAGCTTAAGCTTCATGAACGGACAAGTTTTTAAAAATTTATTTTACTGTGATTCTCATTAAGTAGCATTTTAAATTGTTAATTATTTGATAAAAGAGTGCTTAACTAGGTTTTTGATTTTAAACAATGGCTCCAAAAAACAAGAAGAGGAATGGTTTCTACTTCTTTATGAAAGAAATGCAGCAAAGAGAAGCTGCTAAAGGTTACAACATTTCAATGAAGAATTTACCTGACATAGCTCATCCGTTGTGGACAGTAAGTAAAAGAATTCATCATAGTATAGAACTTCAAGTATGCTGTTGCGAAATCTTCGAATGCCGTACAAAACGTAGAAATTCAATAGAAGAATAAATTTATACGTAGAGAAATAATTTTTCACATGTAATGTGTTTTGTATTTTTGTGTGTATATATTTATTTCCTCTTTTTTATTAGAAATAATAATGTTTATTAAGTCACAACGAATTAACATTATTTCATTTCCGTCAAAATATCAAGTAACTTGCGTGTTTGTTTGAAAACGTCCTTTAATATGTCGAGCACTTACTCATTTTTTTGTGACGTCTTTACCTATACTTATGTTCTTGTTTGTTTTATTAATGTATTAATGTGTGCAAGCCCTGTGTTGTCATAAATTTGGGCCGGCTTTATTTAGAATAGTAACATTCTATAAGTGTTGTGTACCAAGAACTTCAGTTGATATGTTTAACAACCGTGGTGATTAAGAGTAATTTGGGTGTCAAACATCCGAGTTACTTGATTTTAAACTTAAAAGAAGCCACGCTAATTGCCTATTTCAGTAATACAAACTTGAAAACAGTTGTTTCCAGTCTATGACAATTTTGTCAGTAGGAAGTATATTTTAAAAATTTCTGAAAGAAGCTTCCATTTTGTTTTCTTACAGGTGATCTATTAACCCCATAATGCTCATTTTTTCTCTCAAGGAGAACAGTTCATAAAGAAAGGAGAAAAGTTTTAGCAGTATTGCAGTCTTGTCCAGCTTCTAAAAGTATCTAATGCCCAAGCAGCATACATTCATGCAGATTTTAGTATGCGCAAGTGCCTGATCTATGATTAAAGATTAAGAAAATAACACATACAGAGTTCATTTAAGTTTACAGAGTAGATTATTTGATCAGGAATGTTACAGCTGGCAGGCAAACAAATTTTTTCCATGCGTTAGAAGTAAGGAGAATAATAAAATAGCAGTTTTTAATGTAATGTTTCAAAAACATTATTGCATTTACTGATTATCAACTCTAATGTACTAGTGTCAGTTCCATTTCGTGATTGTAGTGTGTGTATACAAGTACCTTTTTTATTTCGAGTTATAAAAATTGTTAATTTTGTTCAAACAAAGGAAACCTAAAATTGTCAGACACTTCTCATATGTTTCTTGTATCTAATACAAGAAGCATGTTTTCTGGTTCAGTATGTGTAGTGAAGTACTCTTCATTTTTATGAATTAGTATCGTTTGTACAAAAATATCTTTTCAGTAAATTTGATCTTGAGATGCGACCATAGAAAATATATTAAATTAATGCAGTTTTATCTGTCAGTATTACTGAGTATTGCAGCCAGATTTGCTACTACTGCATTTGATTCCTGTTACCTTGGATTTTAAATTTATGCAGTTTTAGTAACTGACACCAGCTTTTTTTAAGATCTAATCTTTGAAAGAAAAATTAGATATTTTTTTCTGTAGCTTGTCATATATGTTGCCAACAGCAAATTATGTTAATTTTGGCAAAGATCAACATTGGTTAAAGAATTGAAATGTCTATATCAGTGAGAAAAATGTAAATTTTTGAAAACTAAAAGTAGAACAACTTTTACTCATTTTGGTTAATCTTTGGATTATGGTAACTTGGCGATTTTATGGCGACCAACCCTGCTAGTTTTTGTTTGGACGCCATTTTGTTTTCACGAAGTAAAGGCATTTTTTTTTTTTTACTCAACATTTTTTTCCAACAATCTGCTAGCCGAATTACGCTTATGCTAGAACTTTTATGGAACAAAAGTGCTTAATCATGACGAAGATTAGGTGCGAAATTGGGAAAAAGTGCAGAATCGCCCACTGCTTGCCGCGTTTTTAAGAATTGCACATACACGGTATCATCCATGTACACGTCGACCTATTTTCACTTTAAAAAACATCCCAGAATTGCACAAAAATGGCATTGCGCACACTCTTGACTTTATCCATGTACACTGCTAAAGTCCTAGCTAGTAACCTTTATCGCCTTACCAAAATGTCGCCAAACTACCTGTTTACCATATTCCAAAGATTAGGCCTCATTTTATTTAAAATATGCAAAAATGAAATTGCTTTAATAAGAAATAATATCACTAACCAAAAATTTTTAATTTAAACAAAGTGGTATTTGTAATGTATGATGAAGTAAGAAACATTGTTTTTCTTATTTTAATTTTTAGTTTCATTTAGGATTTGGTACTTAAAGAGACTGTGTGTACAAACTTATCTTAAATAATTGTTCTAATCAATAACAATCTTGTCACTATAATTCTTCTTTTCAATTTTTTTAATACTAGTTAATTATCATAAATTAATCCTATTGCAGTCATAAATGGAATGTTCTTTCTGAATGGATATTCGGTTTTGACAAGTCTTAACAGTGCCATATAATTGAATCTGTATTTTTAAATAAAACACCATATGTCCATTAACACTTTTTTTTGGATGATGGTAAGGTTCCTGACCTTTGAAAGAATTCTATTGCTTCTTGTTCTGCAATCAGTGAATCCCAAATTAAAAATATTTGGGTGAATCTTTGGATTATGGTAATTTGGCGACCAATCCTGCTACAGCAACCTGCTAGTTTTTTTTTTTTATGCCATTTTGTTTTCACGAAGTAAAGGCTTTTTTTTTTAACTCAACGTTTTGTTCCAACAATCTGCTAGAACGTTTATGAAAAAAAGTGCTTAATCATGACGAAGATCAGGTGCGAAATTGGGAGAAAGTGCAGAATCGCCCACTGCCTGCCACGTTTTTAAGAATTGCGCATACACGGTATCATCCATGTACACCTTGACCTATTTTAACATTAAAAAAATCCCAGAATTGCACAAAAATGGCATTGCGTACACACTTGACTTTATCCATGTACACTGCTAAAGTCTTAGCTAACCTTTATCGCCTTACCAAAATGTTGCCAAACTACCTGTTATCATATTCCAAAGATTAGCCGTAATTACTGTTAATACTACAGTCAAAAAGTCGTTAATCCGGACTCGTCGGGACTTCGGCAATTCCGGATTATCTATTTTTCTGGATTATAGATCATCAGTTTAAATCGCGTAAGATGGCATGCAGAAATTCTAAAATTAAAAATATGAAACCGTAATTTATGAAATAAAGAACAATTATGATCTAAAGGGTATCAAAATTTACAAAAAAGAGCTTAATATTTATTTGTTTACTTTATTAAACATTTCTTTCAATGTAAGTTGTTTACCCCTTAACGCATTTGCCCGTGTCTCACACGGGCGAAAGTTTCCGGCAAATTTGCACATGCCCGTGTCTCACACGGGCGCCCTTGTATCTCGCGTTATTTTATTTCTAATGCTTGTCTGAGATCCGTTCCAGTAAAAATAAATAGGCTAGATTATAATTAAACTTATTTGACATAGATGGCACCACTATTCAGCATTTTTCTTGTGTAAACCACGTGGCGCATTTTGATGATTAGCTATAAGTTTGCTAGGAATTCTTTGCTATAAAGTATTCGTTTGGTGTGGAGAAGGTAATATATCCATTTTTATTACGTAAATATAATAAAAGTAAGCAGTTAACTGCAAATTATATTACTAAGTGTTTTTGTAATTTAAAAAAAGTTATCTGATAATGAGCGACTCTGAGGATGACAATTTTGAATATGCCAATTTATCAGACAGTTTCAGCGATGAGAGTGATGATTTCTTGAGTGATGGAAATGAATCGGAAGATAATGACAACGAGATTTTTGGATATAGCAAGGAATTGGTATCAAATTAGTATAAATCAACCAAACGTTGCACCACCGAGATTTCGATTTGAAGCTAACCCTGGCATGATTATGCAAGAAAAAAAATAGGTGATTTTTTGACCGAAAATTAGAAATTAATGTGTGCCTTAAGGGGTTAAGTTGTTTCGTTTTATGTGATAATACTTTCTCTTTAATTCTATAAACAGACATAATTTTTTGTTCACTTACAAAGTTCCGCTGTTCAAGTCCCGTTAATTGCTGTGCCGAGAATACCGACTAACTTGTCAATCGAAATTTTTTCGTTTTCACTAACCTCTCTGTCACATTCTTCATGTCTTTATCCATTTTTTGCAGCAATTCCACTTTTTGTTTGATGGACATCGAAACATACTTTCGTTTTGTAAGATCCTTTGGGAGCTCCAGAATCAAAAATTCTATTTGACATAATCGAAAGTTCAAGTTTACTTTTTTAGTATTGCTCTTACAGTCTGCAAAAAATAATAAGCCGGATCCAATTCGAAAATTAAGGAACAATGGAATCATCAACATGAACTGAAATAGATAATTAGATAATTTTAGCTTACACCGTCTGTTATACATAAAACGTGCACGTGAAAACGTATTCTGCGCTTGCGCACATGCAAATGCGCAGTCGTAAGAGGTCTTACGCGCACGCGTAAACGCCTATGCGCATGTGTCAACGCGGAGCATGCGCAGAAAGTTTTTAGCTTTGAGGTCCAGATTATAGATCATTCCGAATTATGGGTGTCCGAATTAACGACTTTTGACTGTATCATAATCAGATATAAAACGACACTGGTAGCCATTTTTACTTTTCATTCATGTAAAAGCTCTCCTTATGTCTTATCATTGGCAAAATTTTTCTGACATGGTTCACAGATCACTGTCACAGTTTAGCAAGACGACTGGGCAGCTTCACGCGTGTTGTTCCTCTTGTATTACAGTCAAAAGTCGTTAATCCGGACTCGTCGGGACTTCGGCGATTCCGGATTATCGATTTTTCCGGATTATAGATCATCAGTTTAAATCTCGTAAGATGGCATGCAGAAATTCTAAAATTAAAAATATGAAACCGTAATTTATGAAATAAAGAACAATTATGATCTAAAGGGTATCAAAATTTGCAAAAAGAAAAAGCTTTAATTTTATTGTTTACTTTATTAAACATTTCTTTCAATGTAAGTTGTTTAAGTTTTGCTTCGTTTCATGTGATAATACTTTCTCTTTAATTCTATTAAACAGACATAATTTCTTGTTCAGTTACAAAGTTCCGCGTTCAAGTCCTATAATTGCTGTGTCAAGAACACCGACTAATTTGTCAATCGAAATTTTTTTGTTTCAATAACCTCTGTCACTTTTCTTCGCTATCGGAAGCGAATTATAATGACGAAGAACTTGTTTTAAATCATATCAAAGACGGAGCATATCGAGATGAAATACTACATTTGGTAAGGAATTATAAGCCAAATAAAATAAAAACATCTGCGCTGAAGATAAGGATAGTGCTGACAAATCAACTTCCAATTCATTACGTGCCCGCCGCCGAGCAGCGCGAAATTGATAAACAGATTTCGGATTTCAAAACATACTTTCGCTTTAGATCCTTTACATATTAACAAATATATATCGGAAATTCTATTTGATATAATCGAAAGTTTAAGCTTACTTTTATAAAATTGCTCTTACAGTCTGCAAAAAATAATAAGCCGGATGCAATTCGAAAATTAAGGAACAACGCAATCATCAACATTAACTGAAATAGATAATTAGATAATTTTAGCTTATACGTCCATTATACATAAAATGCGCACGCGAAAACGTATTCTGCATTTGCGCACACTCATGTGCGCAGTCGTAAAAGGTCTTACGCGCACGCGTGAACGCCTCTGTGCATGTGTCAACGCGGCGCATGCGCAGAAAGTTTTTAGTTTTGATGTCCGGATTATAGATCATTCCGAATTATGGGTGTCCGAATTAACGACTTTTGACTGTACTACATTTGTTTGTTTATGATGACCTGTTGGGATTCTGTCATGAGAGGGTGTCGTAACATTTTGTTGATCATTTGCTGTTTGGTCAGTGTATCGCATGCTTTATACTCGTAATCTAAGACAAATATAAGTTTAGTTGCCTGTTATAGATACGGCTCGTTAGGTCATTTATTGTAATATTACCCAAACAATATCTGTTATAACTAATGTATGAAATCCACTTAAGTAGAAGTTATTTACTTAACACTAGAACGGCGATAGGGGTCATTTTGACCATTGATTACTTTTGTTTTATTGGAAGAAATCGTTTGGAATTTTTTGACTTCCTAAATAGATAACAAATATTTGTAAAAAAAAAAAAAAAAATTTCAGCATTCTAGGTTTGTTAGTTTTTGAAATATTGGCATGTATTCCTAGAACGGCGGACGGCAGTCATTTTGACACCTTTACTTTTATTCCTCGTTCTGCTCGAGGCATTGTCAAATAACCCATGAAATATATTCACTGATAAGGATTTTTCGATTGCATTCATATTATTTCCCAGAGGGATAAAAACCTGGGTGGTCTCACTACTTTGTAATGTCTATATATGTTGTTGTTCCTTTGTTTGCAATTATCTATTCATTTGAAGAAAATACTGCAAGGAAGGTAGATGCGGGGTTTTTCATGCTTTCATTTCTTTTCAGAAATACTTTATTTTACAGATGTATTTTCCTGTTTGTTAGTTCAGCTTACTTCAGGTGATAACAGTTAGGGCAGATGTTTTCTTAGTAATCCCAAATCAGTATTTCAGTGCATATGAATTCTGCCATCAAGTTCCATTATCACCTTTCTTCACGCTGTGAGAATCGTATGCTAAAATATAATCTGTATCGTTTTTGATAGCCTGATATTTTTCTACTTTTTTCAACTTTTACAAAATATGTCTAATAAGCGGAAAAGAGGTCTTACGGATGAAGAAATTAAAATATTGTTGCAGGAGCTATCTGAAAATGAGTCTGACGGAGGTGAGATTGATAATTTTTCTGTATAAACTGAAGATGAATTTTTCTGTAGAGACTGAAGATGAATTCCAAACTAGTGAATCCGAGGACAACGAAGTAAACGAAGAACTCAGCAGAAATAAACAGACAAAAAGGGATCAGGCTATTTGCAAAACTGTTTTTATAGCTCCTGATAACATTATATGGAATGAAATAAACTCCAAAAATTCAGTCTGCAGCCATGTTCCTGCTTATAATGTTCTAGAAGAAACGGCAAGACCAACATCTTTTGCAAAGAGTCGTGTTTCTGAGGACAAAGTGACTAGTGCTTTCAAGCTTTTTATTTATGATGATATTTTGCTGCATATAAAGAAATATACGGAATCTAAAGTTCATCGGCAACTTGGAAACAAAGACTGGAGATTATCTCTCACTGAGTTAGATGCTTTCGTCGCTATATTGTATGTTTGAGAAGTAATAAAAGCAAAGGGCTTAGATTTATTTTCCTTGTGGTACGAAGCGTGGGGAATACCATTTTGCAAAGAAACTATATCAAGAGATAGATTCAAAGAAATAAATTGGTTTTTAAGGTGTGATGAAAAGACAGCAAGATCTATTCGATTGCAGACTGATAAATTTGCTTTTGCATGAGACATGTGGAACAAATTTATTGAAAACTGCAAAACGTGCTACCGGCCAGGACTAAATATTACAGATGATAAACAATTATTCCCATCTAAAGCTAGGTGTAGATTTACACAAAATATGCCTAATAAACCTGACAAATTTGGAATAAAATTTTGTTTATCTGTCGATGTTGATACTAAATACCTCTTGAATGGATTTCCTTATCCTAGGAAAAGATGAAACAGCAAATCCTCAATAACATTTGTCTGAAAATGTTTTCATAAAATTAACAGAGACACATCAGAACAAAGGGAGGAATATTACCACGGATAACTATTTTACTTGCATTAAATTGGTAGAAATGCTAAAATAAAAAAATACAGTTGTGGTCAGCACAATGAAAAAGAACAGAAGATAAATTTCTATATCTTTGAAAAATATGTGTAGTAATCTTTATTCATCGACGATAGTGGAACATGATATCATAACACTTGCCATCTATCAAGGCAAAAGAAACAAAAGTGTTTTTCTACCGAATGAAGGAATAGCATTATACAACACAACAAAGTATGGTGTGTATATTCGTGATCAAATGTGCTGAAAATATTCAGTTAAATTGGCTTCTAGACGATGGCCTGTACATATCTTTTTCAATATTTTGTATTATGCAGCTTTGAATGCCTGACTAATTTATAAAAGTGTAACAGGAAACACCATTAACACGAGAGATTTTCTACTGAAATTAGGAGAGGAGTTAAGAGTGGTACATATGGCTTCAAAACTCCCAAAGATCCTTCCTGAATCTTCAGAAAAAACACATGCAAAGAAAATGAATATAAAGAGAAAAAAGTGTCAAATACAGAGATGCAATGGAAACAAATCTGAAGAATATTGTGCATCTTGTTCCGGAAAATGTGTTTACGGAAAAGTTGTTTACGGAAAATGTGCTGGAAAAATTGTTAAAAATTATTTTTGTGTCAACTGCATTAATTCTTAATACCTATATGTAATCTCTAATATTTTAAACATTAAATAGAATTGAAACTAAATGCTTTACATATTCCATTCAGCTACACATATAATGATATAACTGAAACATCAGAGAACGTTTCTCATTTCTGGATTTAAAGAGTGAATCATTCTCCGAGTAAGTACATAAAAAATATTATTTTATAAATTGTGTTTTATTTTATTTAACATTAGTTTTAATTTGTAAAATCATTTATTTGAAATAAATTCTTATATCAAATTAATGAGTTATTTGAGTAATTGTAGTATGATCCAGTTGATCGCCATGTACTCGATACATTTACAGTATTTAAAAAAGTCAATAAACTATCGTGATATTAAATATAAATTATGAAATACACATAAAGTATATATTTATACCAATGTATGGCATTTAAAACTTTTACCGTTGTTATTTCAGTTCTTTCATCGAAAGGTCAAAATAACCCTTTACCGCCGTTCCAGTAGGTAAGATTTTTCTCGCCAGTGTTAACTGAGTCTGATCTGAGCTGCCTACTAGCGACTGAGCAATATAGTAGTCGCTGAACACTGGTAATTCGGTCCGAGGTCTTGCAAATGGGCTGGCTGCATGGGGATTTACATGGTTTTTCCAATGTGTAGTGTGTATACGAACCAGTTTCTCTTAGGAAGTCTTCCACAAAGGCATCCATTCCTATATGCAGATAGCCCTCGAGTACTCGAATAAACCTAACCAACTTATCTGAGCTAGTTCTGCTGGGTTTGAAATGACATGTATTATTTCATCCTAAATATGTACAAATAAATATTGTCTCCAAATTATTGATATTACTCTTGATTCTTCTTTATAATTCCATGTTTATAGAATGAATAAATTTAAGCATCTGTGTAATTACTTTTCAGCAACTTTCACTTAAAGAAAGAGAACCATATGAAGAGTTAGCTCGGCAACGTAGAAATGATCCAAATCTGCGAGGAGCAAAATTGGCATCGGACGGAACCAGAGTAGAAGTATGATTGTACTTGTATTTAACTTTCATAGATATATTGTTTTGTTGCATGTTATGAATATTTTTATAATTTTGTGTAAAAAACACAAGTGTTCTAGCCATAACCAGGAGTTGTTTTTAAAGATTTCTTGATACTTCCTTATTATAGTGGACCCTAAGGTTGAATCGCTTATAAACCAAGATATCTTGCTACGTGTTCTTGAAAAATTACCTCGTCAGAATTAACTGAATGATACTCATTAAAATGGTACTCAATTTATCCACGTTTACACAATATTTCTTCATGTAATTTAATTCTGTTTCATAGGGAATAAATATGGTGCATTAAAAATTAATGATGATTAATATTTTAATACTGTTATTGCTACTAGATTGAATAACAGCTAATTTTTTAAGAAATAAATAATTATGCATGCAAGATATAATTATATGTAACTATTGTTGCATGAGTACAGGTTCATAATGGATTGAATGTGCACAAAACCGAAGACAGCTTATTAAAATTTATTTTACGAAAAGAAACATCTCGCTTCAGTTCACACTGAACTAAACAGCTGATGCTATCACCAGGCTTATATTGTTTTCTCCTGGCTGCCGAGAAATCTCTAGTATTTTCCATTTATCGAAATTACAAGAAGGCATCTGCGGTTAAAGTAACATTTAAGGGCCGAATGCAGTTATAGTTATGTGGAGAACTCTTTATTATTATTATTATTTGTCCACTGGCTGAAGAGAGGGCGCTACCAGCATTCCCCCTCTTCTCCACTAGGGGAAAATTCGGACTGGTTACTCTGTTCCTGTCTGCCGTCAGTGAAGCACGAGATCACCTTTCTTCCACTTCACTTTCATGATTTTTCACCTACGTGGACTTGCTAACTATAAAAATGCTTATTGTGCGAACTGTAATCAATGTGACTGTGCATCGGTGAACATGTGTTAAAATATATATCTTTTTCTAGAGTTAAATAAAAATGTTAAAAATCATCGAGCTAAGCTATCATCGTTTTATCTGCAGCAACCCAAAAAAATAGTATCCATAGACGAAAGCTATAAATGATGACCCATCAAGTTAGTGAACACGTGCCTACTGGAACCTGCTTGCATCGTCAATTTCTGTGCTCATAAAGTGCTGTGAAATGAAAATATCATCTGTTAATGCAAATGAATATCGTAATCCATCATTATTTGTGTGTTATCTTCAAAATAGTGTGAAAAACAATTGTCTACTTAACAACATGCTTGTGAATGTGCCTCGTGCAAAACATCAGAGTGCTTCGAAGTGATCGACGTATAAATCCTACAACGTGGTTACATATCACAAAATAAGTTCTTCGGAATATTTTTCCATAAGTGAATTGTGTTATGCTGAATCTGCCACTGACTAAGCAAATATTTCTTGTATAATTCGGAGGTAAGGTGCGCAAATTCTTAGTAGTACTTTAAAACTTATGCTTATATTCGGATAGCACACCTACAAAAAGTGTTTTTCTCATTTTAATGCTTGCATTAACTTTATTTATTTAGCACTAGTATCGTATGTGAACTTATTAGTGACTGATTTTTGTGTATTTATCTCGCATTTGGCAATATATATATTTTTTTGTGAATTGTGGCTCCACCACAAACCGTCGCAGATGATCTTAATATCTCACGTGTTTCTGTCAAACCTCTGCCATTTTGGAAGGTCAATTCCACTTTATGGTTTGCACAACTGCAGGCCCAGTTTGATATCACTGGAATCACTGCTGACCCATGAAATTCAATCATGTGATATCTGCAATCGAATCCGATATTCTCAATAGCGTTTGTGATATCGTTTTGCACCCACCAGTAACTGGCAAATACGATGCGCTAAAAAGACGCTTAATTGAATTGCATTCTGAAAGTGACGAGTCAAAGATCTGTACACTTCTTTAGGGGCTCGAACTTGGTGATCAACGCCCTTCCCAATTACTTTGCTGTATGCGAAACCGTTGGAGAACCCTTGTTGAAATCTGTATGGATATCAAGTCTCTCATAAAATACACAGAATATTTTTGCTGCCTTAAGTGATGAGCTCCTAATACTCGCAGTTGTAGCTGATAAAATCACAGATCTTGCAACTCTCCCTAACATGAATAGTGCTGCTACGGCATCCACTTCTCCCATTGAACAGCAAGTTGCAGAGCTGACAAAGCAAGTAAATGAACTTTCGCTAGCCATCAAAAACAGCTGTAAGCATTTTTGTGAATGAGGAGACAATCGTTCCCAACGCAACAGAAGGCGCAATAGATCCAATGGACGCTATCGCCAGTATAAAGAACTGTGGAACAACATTTGTTTCTACCATACTAATTTTGATTCCAATGCACAGAAGTGTGTTTCTCCATACAATTTCTGGCAGTCGGAAAACTAGATCCGTGATTGCTTGTCGGTCAACGTTGCGACCACCACATTAATCGAATTCTTTTGGCGGATCCATCGTCAAAACACCTTTTTAATTGACACCGGAGCCGATTCATCTGTCATTCCTAAGAGTTACAGTCAGCACGCCAAAAACCCAACTGACTTAATACTCTTTGCTGCTAACGGCACCAAAATAGCAACATATGGCACCAAACTCTTGACCATCAATTTAAACTTACGTCGCTCATTTACTTGGCCTTTTGTCCTGGCAGACGTCAATCAACTCATCATAGGTGTTGACTTTCTCATGAAGTTCAACTTACTTATAGATGTTAAAAACAACCGTTTAATTGATGGACAAACAAAACTATATTCTTGTGGTAGACTTCCCAGTGTGAACCTGCTCAGTACTAGCTTTCATATTTTGATGGGTAACTCAAAATTTGACAAAATTCTTGCCGTTTACCCCAGCTTGACAAATCCTTTGCAAACTTTTGAGAGGGCACCAATGTTAACAATTTTCCATCACATTGAAACTAAAGGACCCCCTATTTTCTCAAAACCTAGAAGATTATCTCCAGAATTACTTCAAGCTGCACATCAAGAGTTTGACTTTCTCCTATCAAAAGGCATCATTCAGCCTTCAAAAAGTCCTTGGGCAAGCCCCCTGCATATGGTTCGTAAGGCAAATGGTGACTTGCGACCATATGGGGTTATCGTCGCTTAAACGTGGTTACCATCTCGGATAGTTATCCCATACCCCATATTCAGGATTGCACTCAAATGTTTCCAGGAAAGAACATATTCTCAACTCTTGATTTAGCTCCATGCATATCATCAAATCCCTGTTAACCTTGCAGACGTTCTGAAAACGGCCGTCACTACCCATTTTGGTCTTTTTGAATACTTGGCAATGCCGTTTGGGTTACATAATTCAGACCAAACTTTCCAACGTTTTATACATAAAGTTTTTATTTGGATTGGATTTTTGCATCCCTTATTTTGACGACATCCTTATTACATCGACTAGTGAAGAAGAGCACATCCGTCATCTTCGTCAAGTGTTTGATCGTTTGAAAAAACACGGTTTGACCTTAAACCCTAACAAATGTGTACTCGGAAAACCATCTGTTTCGTTTTTAGGTTGCCTCATTACTGCTTCAGGTGTAAAACCCCTGCCTGAAAAAACAAAAGCAATTGCCAACTTCCCAAACCTACCACTATTGTCAAGCTGAGACGTTTCTTAACCATGATAAACTTCTATCTCCGCTTCTTACCAAAGGCAACTGAGACCCAAGCTTCACTGAATGAACTCTTAAAAGATTCACGTAAAAATGATAAACTCCCCGTTCCTTGGAACGACGAACTGAATCAGGCATTTGAAAAATGTAAACACGACCTTATTAATGCTGCAACTCTCTCCTACCACTCTCCTAACCAAAAGCTGAGTATTATAGTTGACGCTTCTAGCATATCCATCAGAGCTGTCTTAAACGTTCGGCTCTCTAATAACTACCAGCCGCTAGGATTTTTCTCACATAAGTTATTCCCCACCGAACAAAAATACAGCACATATGACAGAGTTATTAGCTATTTATGCAGCTATAAAATATTTCAGGCATAGTCTCGAAGGTCAACACTTCACTATATTTACTGATCACCGACCTCTAACTTACACATTCACTTCAAAATCAAATTCTGCTTCCCCGAGACAAATTCGTCATTTAAATTACATAGCTCAGTTCAGCACAGATATTTAGCATATATCAGGTTCCAGCAATGTGGTCGCAGATACTCTCTCGCATATTCAAGGCATCGATGCCAATGCACCGCTGGATTTCACACTTATAGCCCACTCGCAAGCCACCGATGAGGAGTTAAAACGTCTGAGTGAAGACTTAAACTGCTTGTTGAAATTCCAGTCATTAGTCATTACAACTTACTCGGGATCTCCATGTATTGTGCGATACCTCTAACAACAGACTTCGACCCTTATGTACCACTTGACTTCAGAAAAAAAAGTTTTTGACTGTTTCCACAACCTATTGCACCTAGGTATCCGAGCTTCCAAAAAGCTCATACAAGAAAGATTCGTTTGGCCATCCATGCTTAAAGGACATTGCCAATTGGACTCGTTCCTGCATCATGTGTCAACGTTCAAAAGTTACCCGGCACACACACACACATAGCCCTTTGGAAAAAATCGTGATGCCCTCCGAACGATTCGACCATGTTCATATAGACATCGTCGGTCCTCTGCCACCATCTGATGGTTATCGATATCTACTCACCTGCGTTGATAGATTTACTCATTGGCCTGAGCCTTTTCCCATTCAGGACATCTCTGCTGACTCTGTGGCTCAACAATTCATCTCCGGTTGGATTGCACAATTTGGTGTACCATCCATTGTGACTACTGATCAAGGTCGACAATTCCAATCCCACCTTTTCGCTTCTCCGACATCTATGCTTAGAATACCATCCTTCCGCCAACAGCTTAGTGAAACGTTTCCACCATGACCTAAAAGCAGCTCAAGCAAGACCTCGCAGGTACATCCACTGAACTTGTCTACGGCACAGCCCTTCGATTACCATCTGAAGTTCCTTCAGCCATCCTCTGCTCCAGTCGATCCAGCATCCTTTCTCCAGACTTTCCGAGAGGCGATGAAGAAGCTGTCTCCGACTCCTACATCATGCCACAACAAATCCACCCCATTCGTACACCATGCACTGAGCACTTGCACTCGAACGTGTTTGTGCGAAACGACGCGGTAAAACCACACTCACTCCTCCATACGATGGACCCTTCAAGGTCTGTGCACGTAACAATAAACATTTCACCATTCTCGTGCGCGACAAGGAAACCGTTCTGGGAATAGAAAGACTGAAGCCTGCCTTCTTCGAAGCTTCAAACACTCAGGTTCCTGTGACCAGCGATCCTCCTGCTTCCCCGGACCCAACTGTTTCTCCAGATACTCCTCCTTCAATCGACCTTACGCTTCCTCCCAGTGCTCCACCAGTTGTCACACGATCGGGAAGACGTGTGCACTTCAACACCAGATATTTGTGAACTGATTTTTTCATCGTACCTTTGGTACTCGGGGGGAGGGAATACTGTAAAGAACTCTATTATTATTTGTCCACTGGCCCAAGAGAGGGTGCTACCAGCTTTCTCCCTCTTCTCCACTAGGGGAAAATTCGGACTGGTTACTCTGTTCCTGGCTGCCATCAGTGAAGCACTCGATCACCTCTCTTCCGCTTCACTTTCATGACTTCACCTATGTGGACTTGCTAACTATAAAAATGCTTATCGTGCAAACTGTAATGTGACTGTGCATCAATGAATGTGTGTTAAAATATATATATCTTTTTCTAGTGTTAAATAAAAACGTTAAAAATCATCGAGCTAAGCTATCATCGTTTTATCTGCAGCAACCCCCAAAAAATGGTATCCATAGACGAAAGCCATAGTTACATACAGGGATCAGTTACAGTTATTCAATTGCAGTACCAGTTACAGGGGCCAGACCAAAATGTCACCAAATATGGCAGTAAAAATTAGTCACCAGAACCATTACCAGCTTTGTCATGTCTTTCCAATTTAGTGAGGTAGCTATTTATCTCGGTGGTAAATAGAGTGACCCCTATAATCTTATTCTCTTGCTTAAGCTTTGACTCTTTAGATTTTCACGTTACATTATGCAAAAGATACTACAATTTTAAGCATAACTGTACTCAAATTATTAACATATACATCCTTTGTCAGAAAAGTTCCAGGATTTTTTTTTTTAATTTCTGAGTTTGCAGTACTAAAATGGAACAAATGTTGTTTTTATGTTACCTGGTATGTATTCTTACTCGACATGATCTTGGCCATGTTTCCACGAAAACTTACGAGGTGTCAGGGCTGTGCTTAGCAATATACTGTTCGGATTGTTTTCACATTCGTGAAGGTGTCACAATGGATGCTGATTGTGAACAAAGAGCGGACTTTAGTTCTGCATTAAGCCCGGGAAAACCCCTAGTAAAACATGGAGCATGATTAAACAAGCATACTTTGCAGGCGAGGCACTTTCAAGAAGTTGTGTTTTCGAGTGGTTCAAAAGTTTTCCTGAAGGCAGGGATTTAGTTCAAGATGATCCCAAAGCTGGCCACCTGCACATATCGATGCAAACATGGAATGTGTAAGGCAGTTATTGCAAGAAGACCGTCATGTAACTATGCATATGATATTAGAACTGAATTTGAATTGTGATGTGTATTATAAGCTTTTACGTGAAGATTTAAGGAAACAGAAATTTAATGTAAGAATCGTTCCTCACTCACTAACAGGTGAACAGAAAGAGGAAAGTCTAAGAATTTCTGCTGAACTATTGGATAGAGCCAGACGTGATATCACGTTTGTGTCTAAGATTATTGTGATTTTTTCTTGTTTCTGTGAATGCAAAGGTGACTAAAAGGAAAGCTTCATCAAGATTATTGCAGACATCGAATGAGCTGTGACCAAATGAGCTTGCAATCAGGGCCTGACTTAGCCTAACTGGGGACCGTGGCAAAAACGTTTTTGGGCTCCCCCCCTCTGCTTCACTACTTCAGTAATGAACAAGCAAACTTAATATATTTTATGTATTTATATCTTAAAACATTATGCATTGTAGAGAAATTTAATCATCCTCCATTTTTTTGTAGCATTTCTTCTGAAAATGCTCGACGTCGAGGTTTATTATCAGGCTTTTAATTATGCAGCAGTTGATGTCTATACACATGAAGCCGTAGCCTTTTATGCCCTTCATCATGCACTCTTCCATTCTTCAATCTGTGTAAGATCGTTGCAACTTCTGCTAAGTCTTCAGTTTTTGGTTTCGACAGTATGCTATCTGTCATCATAAATCATTCATGCTACTTATGAAATGAGGATTTTGAAGGTGGAATTCGATTCTAAGTAGTCCACAATTTATGCTGTGCCTCTGTTGCAGATTTAAATTCAATAAACCATGCTACAGCTTGCACTTTTCTTGCAGTGAAGCCATTTGAAATGAGAATATTGCAAAGCAGGGACGTAGCACCATTTAGTTTACATCTTATTAAAATTAAACTTTAATCTTTTCTCTCTGGAACATGAAAAACCATAAGTGAAAATCTTTGTTTATTTTTAAATCATTTTTGAAAGTGTAGCCATATTTTTCGGACACTTGGTAATTTTTTTAGATATATTTTGTACTGTTATTTTGCTTCTTCCTGTGATATAAAAATACAGTGTGATAAATTTAGTTACAATTCTTTATACACTGCTTTTTTATATTCAAATATGTTTAATTTTAATAGGATAATTTAAGAGAAATAGAAGAGGAGGAACGAAGAATAAATCAGATGAAACAAGATGTCAAAAGATTTTGTAATGCTAATTGTTTATCAGAAGATGCATTCAAAGGTAAATTTTATGTAACAAATAATTTCTTTTATAATTTTTATATATCTTTTCAATAATATATTTGTCAAGTACTTTTTTTTTTTTTTATCAATTTAAGATTTATTGGCATATATTCGTATGAAATGGTAATATTTAAATAAACGATAACCAACTTTTAAGTATTATATGCATTATGTGTATTTTCATATCTGACATCAAATTGATGTCTACAAGGGATGTCAAACTCATAGGTACACTTGGGCCAAACAAACAAGGTTTAACTTTAGGCGGGCCGCAAAAAAAAAAATAATAATAATAATAATATTCATAGAAACATAGATTTATTTCGAATAATACAATAATAAACATATATATTTATATAGAAAAGAACAAGAAAAATTTAATGTTTACGTCCTGATATCTCTTCTCTGCTATTATCTTTCCTATTTTGGGAGAAATTTTGTTTGCAGTGATAACTTTCAACGCTGACCCAAGGTGAGCATCATTAATACGGTTTCTAATAGGAGACTTATTACCTTTCATGACTGAAAATAACTGCTCGCACCGATAAGTGCTACCAAACATGGAAATAATTTCATATGCGAATTTTCGAGTATTTTCAAACCTGGCTGGTAAATATTTGTAAAATTCAGGCACGCCCACTTCAATGAATTTTGCTTTCAAATTTGAGTTGCATTGAATCTCGATCACCTCCATTTGCATATGGCTGGGTACTGAGTCAATACTTATTGAGAAAATCGAAGAAAACAAAAAAAAATTGTCTTCGAGGGAACTAAACTAAAATCATTAAACCTCGTTTCAAATTCAGTTGTTAAATTTGCAATTTTTTTTTCTGCGTATTTTTGATACGAACAAGTATCATCTAAACTTGATTTGTTCATGCTGCACGTCGGGAAGTGCGTCAAATCTTCATTTTTAAGTTGTTTTTCCCAAAGAACTAGTTGACATTTGAATGCTTTAATTATGTCAAACATGTTCGTAATGATATGATCTTTTCCTTGTAACGATAAATTTAAATCGGTTAAGTGTTTGGTTATATCAACCAAGAAAGATAAATCTTGTATCCATATTGGATCGTAAAACAAACTTACGTCTTGATTTTTCGTTTTTAAAAACTGACATATTTCTTCTTTCAAATCCCAGAATTGTTTGAGAATCTTGGAGCAAGATAACCAACGTACCTCGGTATAGTAGGACAAACCCGAATATTCACTATCTAACTCACTTAAGAAAGCAGTGAATTGACGCTGATTTAAACCTCGAGATCTTATAAAATTTATAACTTTTTTTATATATGACAAAACATTCTCCATATTTATTACTTTCGTGCATAGAACTTCTTGATGTATAATACAATGCATATGATGAATGTTTGAACCGTGAATTTCACTAAGTTTTTTTCTTAGTAATGCTACGAAGCCCTTGTTTTTCCCGGTCATTGATGGAGCGCCATCTGTAGCTACAGAATTTAATTTTGCCAAAGGTAGATTGTATTTCTGCAGAAGTCCAAAAACACAAGTAAATATATCTTCTCCTGTGGTAGTACCAGGCATCGGTATTAGTTCCAGTAATTCCTCAAAAATGTTAAAATTCTTGTCACAAGAACGAAGAAACACTGCTAATTGAGCTTTGCCACTAATGTCCGTGCTCTCGTCACAGGCAATGGAGAAACTTTCGAAACTAGATGATTTTGCTTTGTGATCTGATCACTTAAATTCGCGGCTAAATCAGTAACTCTTTCCGCAACTGTATTTCGAGACAATGAAATTGATTGAAAAGCCTTCACATTTCCAGGACAAACAATTTCTCCAGCTTTCATTAGGCATTCCTTGATGAAATCACCGTCAGTAAAAGGCTTCGAATGTTTCGCTATCAATAGCTATCAACTCGGACAAGACGTAGCTTGCATGTACCGCCGCTTCACTTTCTTGCAATACTTTACTAAACATGGACTGTTGCTTTTTCACTCCTAACTTGAGCTCTTTCAACTTTTCTTCTCTCATTAATCCTTCGTAATTGTTATATTTCGATTTGTGTTGTTCGTAATGACGTTTAATATTATATAACTTTGGTACATTAATAGTATTATTACATATCAAGCAGATTATTTTATCTTTTATTTCACAGCAAAAATATTCTAATTCCCATTTTACTTGGAATATTCTATGTTCGTCAGCGATTTTTCGTTTAATTTTACTACCACTTGGTTTTGATATAGACATACTGAATACAAAGGGCTGGAATAAACACGGTTAACGTTAAAAAGTTAACAAAAATTTATTCTTTCCACAAGAGATAAATCAAAATGCTGAAATATTTCTTCAAAAATATTCTAACAATATCACAAAATGTCAAACGTTTAGCAAAAATCAATTCAAAACAGAGAAACTAATTCTATCTCACAGCGAAATCGCTACAAATCAATCACAGCATTAAGTAAACAAACAGTTCGCTAGAACTACAGCTACTACTGAGATGAGTTGTTTGTTCTCGGCTTTTATAAGCTTTATAATTAATTTCTCGAATATACTGGAAACATCTATAAATATCTGGATTTTTGTGGATGGCAACAGCAATTACGAGATATTTATTTATTAGGTATTAAATGCACGCGCTGTTCTATTTTTAACCTTCCAACGCAGCTGTCTTTTCAAAAATCGTCTGCGTTGCTAAGGCAACATGAAGCAAATCTAATTACAATTCTAAATAAAAAAAACTAAATAAATAAATAACTATGAAATCCGTAACAATATGAATTAAGTAATAATTAATAATAAAGCAAAGTGCATGCACCAATATATCGTACAAAACTATGATTGGAAAACTGAGACCATGTGTTCGGCCACATTCGGCTATCGGGGGATGCGTACAAGTTCTGAGTGCACGTGTCCCCCAAAAGCCGAAGGTAGCTGAACGCAAGCTACTCACACGCATTTGTAATTTAAGTAGTGTGTGTGTCAGCTCGCTGTGAGTAATCTAACAACACTGAATAAATTATCGTTAATTACTTAGCAGTAAACATTTCATTTTTTTCTTCGTCGATATGTTATTTATTATTATTATTTTGATTGCCCTATGTTGGCCCGCCGCTAAATTTTTGGGGATGCGAGGAGTGGGAGGTTTTGTAGTTTTTTTATCTGATAGCTAAAAAAAAATTATAGTTTTTATTGCCATTAATTCAGTTACCCGTGTTTTTAATTATTGTAAAAAAATTTGCGTAGCCCATACAAGTAGTTTTTGTATTTTTTAAATGAAATATGCCACTAATTTCATAAGATTCGATATTAAAACAAATATTATATTTATTTTTCTTTTGTTGTCATTTAACTTCTGTAATTTAACAAATAAATAAACGCAAACACACTTTTTGCTCAATAAAATTGAAGTAGTAAAACATCATCCTTAAAACTTTGAAATCTTATGGTTTACATAAATTTTTGTTCCAAGAAATATTAATTTTCTCCAGCAGCTTTGATTTCTTTTCCTAATTTATTTTTTAAATACCTACAAATATCAGTATTCATACAGGTATTATACAAGGTCCAGCTATTAATTTCCAGGACTCGTGGAATAACTCAGAAGAAAAAAAAGTTAAACACATAGCCATTTAATATGATTCAGAGTAATCCCCATCAACCATAATGCACGCCTGTGCTCAGCTGTAAAAATTTTCAAAAAGGAGTTTTAAAGTCCTCTTTTGGAATGCTCTTTAATAGTGACGTTACAGTTTTCTTGATGGCTTTGACATCCTGAAATCTTGTTCCCTTCAGCAAATTTTTCAGCTTAGAAAACAGAAAAAAGTCTGCCGGTGATAGGTCTGGAGAGTATGGTGGATGCTGCATTTCTACGACACCCTGCTGGGCTAAGAATTGCCTCACAGGCAATGCAATGTGTGGGCGGGCATTGTCATGTAGCAGCAGCCAACTCCCATTTTGTTGAAAATGAGGCCTCACTCTACGAATTCGTTTTCGAAGTCGGTCAAGAACTTCTGTGTAGAACTTCCATTGATAGTCATGTTAGGAGGAAGAAATTCATGATGAATGACTCCCATCACAATTGAAGAAAGCGATTAACATGACCTTGATTTTGGACTTTTCAAATCGAAATAACATTTCATAGGTTTCCACAGCTGTCTTGCCCAATTTGAAGCAACCATGTGATCTGAAGTTATTTTCCTTTTATCCTGATCTACCTGTTGCTGGAGTGAATGGACATTTCAAAGTCATTTCTCCATGCCTTCATCAGTATCACAGGTCCATTTCATCAATTCACTTGATGCAGTGCATTTTGCATCTTGAATTTTATTCACCATTTGTCTGGCGCATATTAACCCTCAAGGTTTTGTGCCATTAAAAAAATCAACCAACCAACCAACTTGAAGCAAAATTTAATCTTAATTCTTTGCTCCATTTTCACTTCAACAATAGGAATTTAAGAGCTATGTTTTAATGCACCTTTCCACGAGAACCACTTACTTCAGAATGGCATCGATTGCACTGCACGTGCACAAGAAAATGCTCTTCAATATGCAATCATTAGCACCATCTTCCGACTTTCCATTCTTCTACAGTTAGGTCAGTCCTGGAAATTAATAGCGAGACCTTGTATTTTTCAACTCTTTATAAAATGTAAATAAACTGTCTCAATTTTCAATAATTATTTTTAATCTTCTGCATTCTCTTTCAGAGGTTATGCCCAAAAAATTAATTCATTTTCTGTCTTTCAATATCCTTTGCCATACTGATGAAGATGTTTACATTCCAATTGAAGTTGGATTAGTGGAATACTCAATTGAGCATGGAATAATGACGGAATACCATAAATTGCTAAACCCTGGTTTGTATGCACTTTTAAAAAATATTGCCCAGTTTTTCTATAATATTTAATCCTTCAGCATATCATTGCCGTATTGATTCACTCAGGAAGATTTCACCTTTCGTACGTCTTACCTTATTTTGTCCTTTTATTTTCTTTAATGATCTGGAAACCATTTTTATAATTTGAAAGATATGAGGAAGACTTAAGGGCAGGAAGTTTACAAAGTGTAGGCAGAAAGTTTACAAAAATGACGGAGGTTTGGAAAACTACAGTTAATTTTAAGGGGAGATTGAGGTTACTGGTTTTTATAATATCCAGTATTTTGTGTTTTTTGTTAAAGTAAAGCTTAGTGGAATATGAATGAATATATTTTGTGCTTTTATTTATTTTTTATGAAAGAAAATGAAGGTGACATGTTATATAGTACATAGTGATGTTACAAAATTCATTGACAATAAAAAAAAAAAAAAAAAAAAAACTCTCATTACTGGCTGAGATGAAAGTCACTCCAATCTTAAAACGTGGCATTTGCTTTATTAAAGCTTTGATATCCAGTAGAATCTGTGTTGTTGCGATTTTAGAAAGTATACTCCAAATGTTGATCTCTCAGACATGATCTTGTGTTCATTTGACTAGACAACTTATAAGGTATTTCTCCCGTCGCCTTAGCATGCCTTCGTAGTTTAGTGGTCAGCACACTCGGTCCGTATGCGAGAGATCCGTGGTTCGAGTCCCAGGGAGGACATTGCTCATTTTTCATCTCTCATGCTCTAAAAAAATACCTAAAGTCTCTGCAAACTGCTTACATATGTAGGTATTTCAAAGCTAGAAGACATGAACAATCCATGATTACATGTTCCTGGATATTTATTTGGACACATAGTTCGAATAAAAGTCAGTTAATGTAGGAATTTCGAGAAACTTGCATTTTCATAGTCAATCTACAAAGCTTCAAATTCTAATTGAAGTTTGGGTAGAACGTTTTCAAACATTTACCAAGAATGGCAAAAATATTCTCATGAAACTTTCATTCCCACAGAAGTTATAACATCTGCTTTTGAATTTCCTCTCTCGGATTTGAAACACACTGTACATAATCGTCTGAGTTTCATGTTATTGCTTTATTTACCAACTCCATCAATTTTGGAAAGTGAATAGAATTCTTATTTAGCAATTGGCTTTCTTATAGGATTAATTTTATCTCAAAAGCTTTCACAGAGTCGTAAAGACTATGAACAAGTAAACTTTATCCACTATGCATAGTTCAAAACATTGAGGTAAGCCAGTAAATCGCCAATAAATATAAAGCCTAATATTAACTTCGCATCATGGAGCTCACAAATGGATTTTCCTTTAGATTTCATGAATTGTTGAACTTTGTCTTTCAAGAGAAACAGGAGCTAAAGCAACTTTCCTCTGCTCGACCAACATATTTCTACATAATGCACTGTATTCAGCTTTCAGATCACTCAGGAAGTGTTGAAATTGCCTGTGATTAAATTCTTTGGATTGAATGAAATTAACCAGTTAACAACAATAGTCATCACTAGTTTGAAGTTTGAGAAGGGCACAAATTTTTTTGATGGGTGAAAACAGTTAAAAGCCATCATAATACTATTTCCACATGCCTTCACATTAGATTTGAGTAATGTTATTACACCTGGTTTTTGTCTAGCTATAAAAGGACATCATCTCTGGTTATGACAGTCTTAAATCACATTTAGCCAAGGTTTTGTCAGCCTCAACAAATTTGATCTCCTATTTAAAGCTACAATAACACAGGCTAATTTTCTATGATTGCTATTAACCTTAGTTCCTACTAAATTCCTGTCAATGCCACAAATAAAAATGGCTGCCTGTGCAGTATCTGTCGCATCTGCTGATTCATCCATCACAACAGAATAAGGTACAAAAATCTTGCATTTAAATTTTAACTTAATGAATATATCTGCTGTTAGATCTTTCATGCATCTCACTTCTGTCACACCAGATAAGCTAATGTCCAAAATAGCTTAATCTGAGATCTTCAAAGCACATCAACTGCACAATGAAGACATGCTTTTACAAACTCTCCATCAATGAAAGTTTCCACGTTTACCATTTTTTCCCTCCTATTTTGTAGCTAACATGAACATTTTTTTTCAGGTTCTTGATTTGCGCTGAAGAAAAAAGGCTGCTATGCTAACAATTCAATTCTGATTTCGAGTCTCTGACTTTATCGCTTTGGATATGCCTTTCCAATGCAGAATATTTCCCACTGTGTGTAGTATCGTAAAGCCCTTTGATGTTATTTACTTTCATCAGAGCCTCACTCTTGGTGCAAGTAAGCCAAACTACCTTACACTTGCATTCAACAAAAAAGGAGGCAACTTTTCTCGAAAAAATTGCATTTCCACTTCAACTTTTTTTTTTTTTTAATTATGGCTTACCATTGCACATTCAAAGACCAAAAACACTTCTGAATTTCAAAATCTGAAGCAAGGATGAGTAACCTTACTTAAATCGACTGTGTGAAACTCTGCTTATATCCAACCAATCACAACAATTCCAAAGTTATGAGAAAGACCCTGAGCGTGATTTTTGTGTGTGTGTGTGCGTTTTTTTATTTTACTCAAAAGTATCAACATGGTGGGGTGTTTAAAATATATTGACCCTCAACAAAAGCAGAGTTATTTGAAATAAATATCAAAGATCTCACAAACTTTTCTTTGGGACAAATTAAAGAAAAGCAAAGAATTTGGGACAGTTGTATTGAGAGTCATTTTTAATTTATCGAGAAGGCTTAGCGAGCCACTAAAATATCTTCGATGGACCCTAGGTTGAAGATCTCTAATTTACAGAAAGAAGGATAATAAAAGCCATATTCTTAAAGTATTATTAAGTCAGTGATGCAGAACTCCATAAAATTTAATTATTTAACTTTAAGCAATCAGGAAACCATTTATTGCCTTTTACAATGTGCGAAGTGCTGACAAGCAGTGACATAACATTTCATTTTTAGAATATTGTTTTTAACTACAGTGCGATGCTGCTAAATTATGCAAATTCGACATCTCACATGCAAACAAATATTAATACAGGAAAAAGATTAAAAGACATTTCAGAGAAATAGTATAAAACAAAAGCTTAAAATAAATTAGAGTTCATAATATTAACACATATAACAACTTTTCTCAGGTAGATCATTAAAGCATTGCATGCTGAGGTTTGATGTATGAAAAATCATGTCAAAAGTTAGTTGAAATTGTTTAAACTTTTTCTGTTTTTTCCATTTCCATAGCTTAAACAAAATTAGAAAAGTATTTGAGTGAGACTATGATCACATTAAATTGTAATTTTCCCCCCTTATTGTTTTTTTATTAGTGAAGTTAATTTTTGGAATTGTTAAAGCTGTTAATGTGGGAACTTTTTGGAAAGTAAATTTATTATTTTGTTAGAGTAGGAATCTGGTATATTCTTTTGTTAAAACTGGAATGTAGTTGTCGCTACAATACTCAGAAAATTTTCCTATTTAATTTAGCAAAAATCCAATATTTATATGGATTTTCTCTTGGTATATTTGTATTGATCAAAGGCTAAGTAAAGAAGCAGTGCATAGAATTTTTAATAATGATGCATTTAAAGTATAATTCAGAATAAAGTTATATTCAAGACTTAAGTGCTAGACTGTAATTATTATTTTTAAATTTTAAGTTTCATGTTTTGCAGGTCTAAAAATTTTTTTTTTCAGGTGGCATTCCTCATGGCTATACTGGAATTGCTAAGCGACTCAGTAAGTTAAAAACTTTCATCTTTTTTATATAGTCTTGTAAATAGAGGAATAGCTGCAATTAGCTTGAAAATTTATTTTCTTTGGATGAATTTGCTCAGAGTTCGTAGTCCTTAAAAGTTTGAAAAAGTCCAAGTTTTATGGGAACAGTTTTTAGTTCTTTAAAGTCCTTAATTTTATTTTATTTAACTTTTCTGTCTGTTTTTTGCAACTGCTATTCTGAGTGTGAATTAACATTTTGGAGAATTTTTTTTTTTTTTTTTTTTTTTTTTTTTTTTTTTTTTGGCAAATAATTGACAAATATGTATTTGAGTTATTGCTTGAATTCATTCCTGCTTCTAATATAAAGGGGAAGATAACTCCAGTTTCTTGTCAGAAGGCTGTACTTTGATCAAACCAGAGACATTTCAAAAAACATTCTTTTTTTTTTTGTGAGTGAAAAGTTCACAAAGTATTACATCAAAAACGTATTTTCTCTTTTCGGGATATGTATTCTTTTATTATGTTTTGCTAAATTTAGCGATTTATCGACATTTTGCTGGTTTTAAGATCAGTTTGTATGCTAAATTTTTAATTGGGAGATTTACAACTTTTTTTTGTTTATTTCAAACATAAAAACATTGATAAATATTAAAATGATAATATATAAAATTATATTTAAGAAATAACAATAGAAGAAAACAGTTTAATTTTTTTCTGTCATATTTTAGTGATATTATTTTTCCTCCTTGGTGACTTCATAATATTTTATTTTGAAAAATAAACAAGATAATAAATGTATCTTATTGAAAGCACAGTTTCTGAAACACTTCTTAGTAAAAGCAAAAAGGTAATATAATTATTTAAAAATTAATTTCATTTGTCTTTTATGTTTTTCTGAGAGTTTTTCCCTTGTTTCAGATTATTCCAATGTGTGTCAATTTTCTCCATAAAATTCTCTTTATACTTTTTCCTTACAAATATCTAGTTGACTAGTGACTGTGTGGCAAAGATGTCAGACATTGGCAGTTAGACCTGGGATCAAATCCTGGTAAACAGGCTGGGTGCATGGTTGGTTTTTGTGGTTTTCCTCATGTGTAATGGGACAGGGTTCGTAGCAGTCCTTATAAGTTCTTATAAGTCTTTATATTTGAAAATAAAATATAAAGGCCCTTATAGGTGCTTACTTTTTCTTTAAAGCCCTTCTTTTTTTTAGTGCTTATTTTTTGCTTTTAGTACTTTTTTTTTTTTTTTTTTTTAATGAACGCGGAATTTTTCCCCGTACCAAAGCCAAAACTAAATAAACAAATTTCTTCTAATATGGAATGTCAGATGGTAATCATACTCCCGGAAATAGTTTCCCCTTTCTCGCATTAAAAACCTTTGGTGTGCATGGAGAGTATAGACAGGTGGCCGTCGTTCTGTTGGCCAAAGAATTGCGAAAGCAGTAGAAAATTCCGCAACAATTCGACATTCTTCCTCCCACCAATTTACACACATTTGAATTTCTATCAAGTCTTAATAATTTTCATTTCATCTGCTTGGTCGTTCATATTCGTGTTTATTATGATCATTATGCTTATATTATGAGTATATGTATGAAGTTTAATAATATAGTTGCAGTAATGCTGAAGTTATAAACTTCCAAAAATGGTGTGTTTTAAAACAGATTCTTTCTAAGGAATAATATTCGGATGGCTTAAATAAAGGGAAAGTAATCGAATAGTCAAATAATTTCTTTTTTGGCCAATACATTATCCAGTACGAGTTGGAGGTTTCCACTTTCTCCGCAAAATCTCGAATATTGAAACTTTACAGTTCGCTGCAAACAAGCAACAGACCCCCTTTTTTCCCCCCACTTTTCAATCTGGATGAATAGGACTAAAGTTCTGCAGTCTACCAACCCAAGCGAGAATGATTCTATTCCGGAATTTAACGCAAATTAAATGAAAAACAGCCCAGATTGGTAAGGCTTCTTTCTTTTTCCTTTTTAGTTCTTTATTCTCCCAATACCGCAGCTGTTGAATCCGATTGCGTAATATATTTAGGGAAAATAGGTCGCAGTATGCGCATAACGTTTGGGATATTTTGCAGAGATAATTAATTTGATGTTCGGTCCGAGATTTTTGTGAAAATTAAAAGGTTTTACGTGCTTGCAGCGAATATTTTTCTGTTCCGTTGTTTGTTTATATTATGTTGTTAGGCACATATCGAAATGTCAAAGCATTTTTGCGTAAAATCTAAAGAACGCACCAGTCTATCCCCCCCCCTCCGCTCTCTTTTAAAGTAGCTTGACTGTCCGAATTTCGCCAATTTCAATATCAATAGTTAAGCTTTTACGTAAGGACGGCATACGCAAATTTCTGTCTTCTGATTTCAGAATGTTCCTCTTTTTATTTAAATTACTTTGCTGCATTATCTGTTAAGGGAAAACTGATATATACGATGAAAATTTAGAAGTGGAAAAATAAATTGTATTTATAATTAAGTTCCAAACGAATAGAATAAATATGCCTTATTATTATTTATTTCCTCTATTTTGAACTGAAATTTCATCATTAAATCTTGTAATATAGTTTAGTTTTGCATAGTTTTTTTTCTCTCATTGTAAACTAGTTTTGTAAATTGAACTGTTATTTAAAATTAAAAAAAAAAGTTATTTTCCGTGGTTGAGGTAATGCTTATTCTCTCTTAATAAGTACTTCATTTCTCATATTTTAAATTACGAATCTAATTTTTAAGGTTATGCAGTTGTGTATAATGTAATTAGACAGGTGCTTATTTTTTTTCTTAAAAAGTGCTTATAGGTGCTTATTTTTTTTCTTAAAAAGTGCTTATAGGTGCTAATTTTTTTAACTAAAATGTGGCTATGAACCCTGTGGAAAAATGAGCTACTTTCCCTTAAAAAGCCCTCCACAAAGGCATCGCTTTCGTAGGCTGATAGCCTTTGTGTTCCTTTCCCTTAACCCTTTCCAGCATACTACCTTTTAAAGTTGGAATTTCAACCAAAAATAAAGGTAGGCTGTATAATCAGGCCTAGAAGAGTACATAGGTAAAATTTTGCGAAGATGGCACTTATCGTTTTAATTCTGGGGGTGTGCACATTGAATGAATAGAGCTTTGAAAAGTGTGCTGAAACGAGCATTGCTGGGATATGCCAAAAAGAGTAAGAGATTTTGCCTACAATTATAAAACACTAGATTCTAAATACCATAGCAGATTTAGCATTACCCAGAGTGTGCCACGGGGAGGCCTGCTAAAAAAGCTTTTCTTGATTATATGATGATTACATGCATATAAATGGGAAAAAAAAGTAACTTGCATATATGATAGTTACATTATTTACATTTCATATTTATGTATTCGTCTTTTTTTTTTTTTTTTTTTTTTTTTTTTTTTTTTTTTCATGGTGGTACTTTTCAAAAAAAGTGACACCACTTTTGAAAAAGCACCATCCATCATTCCATATTTTGCACGTGTACCGGGATCCATATCAGATTCACTAAGGCAATTTATGTAGCACTTTCAGTGTTTCAGAAATGGTCACCCTCTCCGATCCATTTGCAAAATAATTAAAAGTAAAAAAAAAAGTATTATATCTACAATTAGAAATTATAAACTATAAAATAAAATTAAATAAACATCTACAATTCAAAACTAGGCGCTAACAAAACTTCTTTGAACGAAAGAGAAAAAGAGAACTGCTCTAGTGAAAAACCAAACAGCTAACTGATAAAATTACCCCTGACCTTCAGAAAATCACCTAACAATTTCTTAGTTGATAACCAAACCTCCCCTTCCCCCCTTCCCAAAAAAAAAGAGGAGAACAGGAAATGAAACAGATGTAGGCCCACCTTTTTCTATTATGAATGAGCAGACCGGAGAGCTGCAGAAAGACAAAGATACAGTTGTTGGTTTTGTCCTAGTCTTTGAGTGATTCCACTGTGGGCACACCTGATGTCCGCCATTCGATTTTAGGCAAGATTTCGAGGTAAAAATTTAAAACTAATATAGAATAAGGAGATTAGCATACAGCCAAGAAAATAACATAGAAATTTCTTTTCAAATCATTCCTTTTATATCCTAGAAAAAATCTGGAAGATTTCTTTGAAAAGTGATGGTCTTTAAAAACCAAACATGGCCAAAATATATGGACTGGTTTGTGTTGGGCTGTCATCTACTATAAATTAAGAAGGTTCAGAGTAACCTATGAATCCTTTTTCATTCAATTTTTCTGTGCATACAGAAGGAAATTTTTAGGTGCGGCAAAAGGTTAATTAACCTAACCGTTTAAAAAATCTGGCTTTTTGATCTTATACATCTGGTAGGGATAATTTTTATTTCAGATTTTAAACCTGCACTCTGAAGGATTTGAAGGCCAGATTTATACACGTATCACTCCAGAAAATGTGACAAAATGAATCTTTTGAGTATACACACTTGATGAATATGTTTTACTGCAAGTTTATTATGAATTTATTTATTGGAGAATTTTTTAAAAATGTGGAAATGAATTTTTTAAAATTTTCTGCTTTTTATCCTAGAAATGTTTCTTTTAATATATTTGTTTTCCCTTTTATTTTCTTCTCACTTGACACAAGCATGGAAAATTGCAGAAGTGGTTCAAACCTTATCGCATGAACAGGTATCTCTAAAAAGGAAGTTTTATATTAAGAAAGAAATTGAAAAGTGACAATTTAAAAGATTCATCTTACATGGTTCAGTGCATCATGTACGCTGAAAAGCCACTGAAAAGTAAGCAAATGCAAAGACATATAATGCATATCTTTCTAGTGAAAAGAAGCATTCAAAAATCAGTCAGCTCCAAAATTCAGTTTTCCATTCAGCTCCGAAACGACATATTTCTACAGATTTGGGATTTCAAACTCTGACCTTTGCTTGTGTGGCGAGCAAGACACTCTTCAGCACTAATTGGCAAAGTGTCAGATAACAGAAGGGCTGCATATAAAGTTTCCAAACTACAGTCCACAAGCATTTAGCAGATATTTAATGAAGGAACATCACTGAATACAGAATATTTGAAACATAGTTGTTGCACTTTTTCAGGCTGGCAAAGAATTGTGTTGCGCAGAGTATAAACTTAATCAGGGTTCAATAGTTTACTACAGCATTTATTTTTTTAGCGTAACGGTATTTCATAAGCAAATAATATGCTAATGAATGTTTTTTACACAGTATCAGAACCAGTGTAGCACAAAAGATATATGAACTATTTTAATTTATGAACATACGAGCTGATGTTTAATGTCTTGAATATGAATTTTCTATTGCTGTTCAGTACTAATTTAGCACTTTACGCATAATTAAGAATTGAAGTTTTTAATTCACTCATGCATGTATGTATTAACTTTATATATCCTGTGTTGCTGTGTATAAACACTGAAGGGCTAAAATTTTATGACCACCTACTCAATAATACGTTGCATGACCTTTGGCCTGCAAAACAGCTATAATTTGCTTTGGCATGGATGCCGCAAGTTCTTGGTAAATCACTGGAAACAGATTGCACCAAATGTTTTAAACAGCAGTCAGGCAAAGTCAAGGTAATCTGATATGGTGGTGTTTGAGCTCTGAGCTGCTACTCCATGGCATCAGAAATGTGCTTTATCGGGTTAAGATCTAGTACGTTAGCTGGCTTGGGCATTAATTGAAATTCATCCTTATGCTTCTCAAACCACTCTAACACAATTCGAGCCTTGTGACATGGTGTGTTGCCTTACTGGAAGATTCCATTTCCAGTTGGGAAAACAGATACCTTTTAAAGGTACAACTGATCTACAGTTATGTTCAGATAGTCCACAGCTTTCATGGTCTGTTCTACCACAACTAAGGGTCTCCGAGCCAACCATGAGGACATTCCCAAAAGCATTATACTGTACAACCAGACTGTGGATGACCTTCTGTACAAGGGGGAGCAACTGTTTAACTGGAAGACAACATACCATGACATAACCTTGATGAATGATGAAGCGTGATTCATCCGACCACAATTGTGGAGCATGGATATAAGGAGACCAGACAGCTGTCGTCCACTTATCTATGGTCCAGTCTCGATGTTCCCGGGCCCACTGTAGGCATAGTTGGCAATGATGCTTGGTCAACATAGGCGCACAAGTAGGACGTCTGCTGCGTAGTCCCATATCTAACAGTATCCATGTTCTGATTAACTAATTTCACTCAAGCAGCAGCAGTGGCAAAAGCCAATCTTATGAGTCATGTTGATTATGATTTTACTTCTCCTTTTAACTTATGCTGCACAATATAAAATCATACAAACTATACTGGACTGAATAAGCACAGAACAAAAGGAGGTGTAAAAGAATCAACAAAATTTGTAAAACTTAAATAAAATGTCACTGATTTTCTTAAAAATATATCTATTATAAATGTAAAATATAAATATTTCAACAAATTTAGAAATTTAATGCTAATTACTTGATAAATTTTATGAAGTTGATTTTATTATCAGATTTGTTTAATAGTTACATCTAATATTAGATTATGAATAATAAATTCTTTGTATGTATCTGTTTTATTTTTAGAATGGTATTATAAAAGCAAAGTTCGAGCATGGATTACTTCAATTTATTTTATTCCAGTTTATTCATAGGTCCTTAACAGTACTTAATTTCCTTTTGCAGAAATAAGTACAAACCCTGTTTGCAAATTATTAGTTTTCATCTGCATACGACTTTATGAAATAACTCATCAATGTAATAATAAATATTAAATGTAGTGCTCTGTTATATAAATAATACTGCTCTTTAATAGAATTGTAATATCAGACTATCATGAAAGTCAAGGCTGTGAAGTTAAAGACGTAAAAATCTTACTTTAGAACTAAAAGAAAAATTATTTACAATCAGAATCATTAAAGGAACATTTTTAATACACTGTCATCTTGCACAGGTTATCAGGAACTTATTTCCATGAAATGAACAGTAATCTTCAGAAGTGAAACATCTTCAGTATCCTGTTGCATGCCCCGCTTTATACTTGCTGACAATGGAATGTACCTGTCTGACCTTGTGACATGTGGCTCGGCATCAAGGAACATTCCTAAATGTTCACCGCATGATTTTTCTGGAACCTAGGTGCCACATACATTTAGAACATATGAAAATTCATTGTCTTTAAGCACCTTCCCAGCAAGATAATTTTTTGAGGAAGGGAGGAAGTGTCTGTTAAATAGTTTGCTGGATCAAGTGAAGCATTTCTCACAATAGCACATGCACAGTAATATAATGATCCTCAGTCCTGCTTAACAACTTGAAGCAAGAATTTAAAAATACACATTTTTAACTCGGCTAACTAACAACTTTAACTGGTCCTGACTATTGTAGTACATTATTTTTTTATATAAATATTCCCATGAAAATTGCATGTCATATTTAGAATTATATAAAAAGATGCAAAGGTAATTTTTTTTTTTTTTTTCCTCCAAAGGAGGTTGAATTTAGTGTTTGATTATTTCAGGTGAAGACAAGCATCAGATAGACATATTCAGCTCTAAAGACCGTGAAAGGAACATGAGAACTGTGTATAGGGATATAAAAAAATTCACTAGTTCCTCTGATTGTGATGATTTTATACCAGTATTTTGTTTAGACACTGATGTTGAAATGGTAATGGGATGCTTGGATTGGCTTTCAAGGTGTACAGGTAATTTAATTTTACCAGCTTATGTATATTTTTTAATATGTAACATCTATCAAAAATTGTAATTTTTATGAGCAATGGTTTTTCTGTTCTTGAAAAATGGTATTTGAAATTCTAAGAAATATTCAAACTTTTAAGGAAGTTGCAAATCTAAAATATAATTAAAACATTTCCCAAATACTTTATTCGTTTTTCAAGACCAAAATGCCGACTGGTGTATATTGTGTCTACTATAACCAGTGCACCTCGAAGCTTTTTTTTTTTTTTTTTTCCCCCGAAATTCGAATTTTTTTTTTTATTTTATGTTTTGTGATGAAATTGCGTCATTTTGAGACATAATGGGCTATAGGAAAGCGAGATTTTACTCTACACACTCCATTTTCACATCATCAGGAAACGTAGGCACTTAGCTATTTTACAAATTAAAATAAATTTTGTGTTTCAATAAATCGATTAAATACGAATTTATTTAACAAAGGGAGCTTAACACCTTTTCAGTGGGATATTTTCTAAAAAAGTTTATTATTAAAAATGTACACTTTATTTTTCTTTGATTTTTGGACACGTTAAACTTTCATTCTTACAACTGCTTTTACAAAAAGAATTTTGGAAAAATGGTAATATTATGTATTTTTTTTTTTTTTACTTTTAATGAAGCTTCCGAGTACACTTGTGATTTTGGCAACAATTTTCCTGTCTTATTGTTGTTAATAGATTTTTGATGAAATAGCATTATTTTGAATAGTTTCATTCTTTTAGAAATATGGGTTTGGCAACAATTTTTCATCGTATTTCTTAAGTCACTGTTTTTAAAAGATTTGCATATTTCATTCTCATTTATATATATATTTCTCATTTGTAAGATATTGAAAAGTTTTGCATGATTTGTTTTCTTCAACGGAAAGTTGGTTAATTTTTTCGTTAAATTAATTAATATTTGTATTAAGGGATATGGTAGCTTATTTCATTGTAATTTTTTTCTCTTGAAAGTATAAGATAAAATATCATTAATTATACTTTGCTTTTCAGAATTTTTTGTATTCTTTTATGTTATTTATTGCTCATTTCACTGTTTTTAAGATATTGGAAAGTTTTGAGTGATTTTTTTTTTTTTAGGAAACAAAGTTCTTAACCTCCTTTATACCATTTGAGTTCTTAAGATCTTGCAAAGGGAAGTTGGTTAATTTATTTACTAGGATAATTAATATTTGTATTAAGGGATATTGCTTATTTCATTGTAATTTTGTTATATGTAATAACTTTTTTTTTATGAAGTTCTTCTGCAGAGTAAAATTCTACGCAGTTTTTAAATTTAACGTTTGGTGTTCGTTCCCTTCAGCCATTTTTTCGGTACATTTAAAAGCCAGACGAAGGCTGGCAGCGAAGCTGCTAGTAAATGATAGAAAGACATTGAATGCTGTTATGAACTTAATGTGGTTATGAAATAACAGTGTACACATAGGCATTTAATACAGTATATACCCTCTCCCCAAGTCTTTATCCAGCCTTTATTTTTGCAACTGTTGATTGTAGACAAATACTTTCAATTGCAAAATTCTTTTAAATGATTCAGATATTCACATTTTGGCATTTTTAAATTTAAAAAAGTAAATTTTGTAAAAATTGGAAAATCTAATTTTCTGTGCATTTTCCCACTCCCTGTACTTATATATTTAGGAAAATTTTGACCCTGGCTCTTCGGCATGGCAGTCGGTAATGCTAACCACTCTACCTGTTGGAGCAGCAATTATCTTATTTACTGTTAACCAAAAAATATAATAAGAGTTCCATTGCCAAGTAGGATGATAACAGAATATATTTTTATTTTTTTAAAACTTCTTTCATACCTATTAAGTATTCTGAATTCATTTTTTCCTCTTTGACTGTGACTGTGTGTCTTTGTGACTGAATCTTTTAAAGCATTAGAACTAATCAGATATGCTTTCAGGTGAAGAAAATTTCTTTGTTGTTTGGAATGCTGCTTATTTGCTGATGGAGATGAGGGCTGGTGTTGGGCATCCTTTCCCTTCTTATACAAGTGCATGCGACTTGCTTCATAAAAATAGTTTTGATTTTCATCCTTGTGCAAGGTATGAAAGTATTTCTACATAAAATATTGTTTTACTTCTATTAAAAATACCGGTATTTGTGGAAATTTTCAAATTTTTGATAGTAAGATATTTTGAGCCATAAAATATTTTTGTATCAGACTTATTCCAGAAGTTCACTGCTAAAACTGTACCTAGTGAAACACACTTCCTCAGTTTTTGAGAAAGATTTATTGTTAGAATTTTTGACCATATCAGCTTTTATTATCATAATGTAATATTTTATTATGTATTAATGAATTTCGTGAAAGTGTTTTGAATAAGTTACTTATTTCACATATCTTTTTTATTTTGGGAACGAGAAATATGCTTTGTTATGATAATGTACTTCTTAGCATATTATGATAGTTAAGATATGCATTTCCCTTAATGCGTAATATAGCCTTAGTGAACCAGGAATGTTTGGTTAATAATTTGAATATTAGAGACCTGGAAAATTATATAAGTTATTGTACTTCTTATTGCACACACAACCTGTATATGCGGTGTTTGTATGGGTATGTCTACAGTGGTTCACTATTCTGATCTGATCAGAGGAAAAAAAGGATCATATCAGAAAATAAAGTAGAAATGGATTGCTCACACAAAAAAATATTAATAGTAACTTTATATAAAAAATACTTATTAAAAATTTAATTACAATTAAATTTGCATGCAAGTACTAAATTTCTTTATTTTTCAGTTTCATCATACTTTATAAATAAAAAAAAAAAAATTCCACAAAACTCGTCATTTATACCAATCATGGCAGGTACTCATTTACAGTTATTACAGCCTTGAACAGAGTGCTGTCTAACAGCTCAGTCACAGAACTGAAATGGAATTAAAAGAACCAGTTCAAGCTTAAATGGTCAGGATCAGTACTTCAAAGTATAACAACAAAATGCGTATAGGATCTTCAAAGTTTATCATTTGTCTTAGTTTTCCAAGAACTAAGTGCTGCACTTGCCTTGTGTAGTTTTTTGTGTAGAATACAAAGTTGTGTGGGTGAAAGGTAAAAGAACAGTAATCTGAAGTTATTCTAGTCTCTTAAATAGAATAAATTTAAGATTTAATAATTTTTCAGTTTGAAAGCTGCAGAAATTCTGAAAAAAAGGCTTGAATAATTTTTTTTTTTTTAAGTAAAATAATGTGTGTAGGGGGGGATTGGGCAACCAAACTGTTCTTTTCTATACCAAGGAGATTGCTATGAGCTAGGCTGATTATAGTGTGGTTTGATTCCATATATTTCTGTTCCATATATACACAGTATCTGCAAAAGTACTGATCCTGACTTTATTTTCACAACCATTGGTCATACATGTTACTTACAAAAGTGTAAGTAACAAATATTCATGTTTTGCAATTCAAAAAAAAAGTTTTGGACAAATTACAAAATGTACTTTTTTGTGTGGCCCCTGTATAGAGAAAGAGAAACCTTTACACTCATTATAAAAATCAGAATACAAATTGTTTTAGTCATATATGAGAAAAATGGAATGAGGTATTTAATTTCAAAATTTGCAGTTTTTTAAATCATTTTTCACTTGCCTTGAGGGGTCAGTTAACCCTCGAAGCACCATGACCAGATTTCACTTGGTTATATATTACCTTATAATTTTGCTTTCTTACTTTCTTTAATAATATGAATGTTGTCATAATAAATCTAAGTTTATGGAAATAAAGACTAAAATAAGTAGATACACAAATCTCTACATATAATAAAAGAGTCTGTCTGTGTGTCTTTCGTTTGCGCTGCACGTAAGCTAATAGACCCACGGCTACGAAATTTGGTACATAGGTGCATCTAGACAAGAGCCAGTGCACGTCAAAGCGATTTTTTCGAAATTCGAATTTTTTTATTTTATGTTTTGTGATGAAATCGTGTCATTTTGAGACATAAAGGGCTATAGGAAAGCAAGATTTCACTCTACATACTCCATTTTCACATCGTCATGAAACGTAAGCACTTGGCTATTTTATGAACTTAAAATAAATTTTGTGTTTCAATAAATCGATTAAATATGAATTTATTTAACAAAGGGAGCTTAACACCTTTTCAACGAGATTTTAAAAAATAAATAAATAAATAAATAAAAATTTTTAATGTACAGTTTATTTTTCTTTGATTTTTGGACACGTTAAACTTTCATCCTTGCGACTGCTTTTACAAAAAGAATTTTGGAAAAATTATAATATTTTGAATTTAAAAAAAAAATTTTAAATGAAGCTTCTGAGTACACTTCTCACATCTTTAAAAATATGATTTTGGCAACATTTTTCCTGTCTTATTGTTGTTGATAGATTTTTGATGAAATTGCATCATTTTGAATAGTTTCATTCTTTTAGAAATATGGGTTTGGCAACAATTTTTCATCGTATTTCTTATGTCACTGTTTTTAAGAGATTGGCATATTTCATTGTCATTATATATATATATATATATATATATATATATATACACACTAACTACCAATAAGTATTTGGACATCTATGCAAGTGACGATATCTGCGGTCCTAAGGTACGTCACGGACTCCGCCGGTATATATCGTGTAGGAAACAGCATCGGCTTTAGTCGCATGCAAGATGCCTCGCAGTTCGGAGCTTTCTGATTTCGAGAAAGGTATAATTATCACGTATGTTAAATGTGGCCGATCCTTAAGGGACACATCTAGCGATCTGAAGTACCCTAAATCGACAGTGGCCTATGTGATTAAGAAGTGGAAGGTGAGCGGAGATGGTCAGAGTGTGCCCCGAGTCGGCAGACCAGCGAAACTGGGAGATAGAGACCGACGAGTGCTGTCCAGAGAAATTCGGAAGAACCGCACCCAACCGATGGCCCTCATCCGCGAGGAGTTTCAGTAGGCATCGGGGAGTATTGTTTCAATGAATACCATCCGTAAGGAAGCACATCTGCTTGGTTTTCATGGTCGTGCTGCTGCCCATAAGCCTTTGATCACAAAGTCCAACTGCACTGCTCGGTTAATGTGGTGCAAAGCACATCGAAATTGGACCGTAGATCAGTGGAAACGGGTTCTTTGGAGTGATGAATCAAGAATCACCCTTTACCGTTCGGATGGCAGGGTCTGGGTCTGGCGTCTACCTGGAGAACGTCTCCTGTTAGAATGCATTGTGCCAACAGTCAAGTTCGGCGGAGGTGGAATTATGGTCTGGGAGTGTTTCTCCTGGTATGGGCTGGGACCCTTGGTCCCCATTCATGGTAAGCTCAACTCCGATGCCTACTGCACTATTTTGGATGACAATGTGCTTCCTACGTTGTGGCAGTTTTACGGGTTGGACCCCTGTTACCTTCAGGACGACAATGCCAGTTGTCATGTTTCAACGTTAACCAAGGCTTGGTATGGTGCCAATGGAGTTCATCGAATGGACTGGCCTGCCCAGAGTCCAGACCTGAACCCTATCGAGAACCTCTGGGACAAGTTGCACCGCCGAATTCAGGGGTACACTACCTGTGCAAAATCGGTGAAAGAACTTCTATGTCTTCTCCAAGCCGAGTGAAAAAAAATACCACTGGCTGTCGTACAAAGACTTGTGGAAAGTATGCCCGGAGGGTCCACGCTGTAATTACCTCTCATGGAGGCTCTACCAACTATTGATTTTGAATAAAGTTAGTTTTTCTTTTCTATCACATGTGTCCAAATACTTATTGGTAGTCAGTGTATATATGTAATACATTGTTATATATATATATATAAAGTTGTTCCGCAGAGTAAAATTCTGTGCGGAATTTTATGTTTTTTGAGTTGTTTTCATGTTATTTTTTGCTTATTTCACTGTTTGTAAGATTTGCGTGATTTTTTTCCTTCAATGGAAAGTTGGTTAATTTTTTTATTAGAATAATTAATATTTGTATTAAGGAATATGGCTTATTTCATTGTAATTTTTTCTCTTGAAAATATAAGATAAAATATCATTAATTATACTTTGCTTTTTCAGAATTTTTTGTTTTTTTTGTATTCTTTTATGTTATTTATTGCTCATTTCACTGTTTTTAAGATGTTGAAAAGTTTTGAGTGATTTTTTTAGGAAACAAAGTTCTTAACCTCCTTTATACCATTTGAATTCTTAAGATTTTGCAAAGGGAAGTTGGCTAATTTATTTATTAGGATAATTAAAATTTGTATTAAGGGATATTGCTTATTTCATTGTAATTTTGTTATACGTAATAGCTTTTTTTATGAAGTTCTGCAGAGTAAAATTCTACGCAGTTTTTAAATTTAACGTTTGGACCCTTCAGTCATTTTTCTGGTACATTTAAAAGCCAGACGAAGGCTGGCAGCGAAGCTGCTAGTTTAGCTAATAAAAGGCTGTTTAAATAAAAGTCTTCATGGTGGATCCAAAAACTCGTACCCTCATTGTGTCAACAAATAAATTAGAATAACTCAAGATTGATTTTTCCCTGTTTAAATTCTATTCAGTGCTAGTCTTTTGAGATTTACTAGTGTGTAACAATCTGTAATTTATAATTTTGTTGCAATTTGTATACCAAAATAATTTTCGTGCACATAATTTACAAATTTTCAATTGTTAGAAGTATTGACATTCTCATGCAGTTTTACTTTAAAAACCTAATCTGAAACTCATACAAAAAATTCAAACTAGAAATATTTATGCAAATAATGTTACAAACAAATTATATTGATCAATAATTTTAATGATAATATGCATAGAAATACTTATCATTAAATCTCTCAACATCAGACATCTTTACCTAAACTAATACAGGGTTCGTACGGTCCTTAAATACTTAACTAATACAGGGTTCGTACGGTCCTTTAGATTTTTTGGAATCGATTTTTGGTCCTTAAGTTCATCCTTAAGTGGTCTTGTGCTGATTCTAACTAAATGAAAAAGATCCATCATCTAATTTGTTTGCACACTTATCAATGAAATATGAACCCAACATCTGGACATTAAACTGTCATGTGTTCTGAAATGGTATAAAAAGGTTAATTGTGTCGCAGCCTCTTGCTTCGTTTCA